AGGCCCATTCTACTTAATATGCCACTCGATGACGTTGATGGCAGTTTGTAGAACGTCGTGTGCCTCCCCAATAGAGCCATGGCACACCCACAGAGTCATATCATCGCGTCAAATGCATGCTGTAATTTAGGAATAACAGCGAGCTCTTTGGCCAAAGGGGCCAAGGCTACATTGAATAAGAGTGGCAATGGGACAGCTCCCCTGGGGTGTTCCCCTATTTGGGAGGGAAAAAGTGGCGGATGTGAGTGTACCTAATCTAACCTCGGCGGTGCGCTTTTCCAAAAAGCTTTGACAGACATAATGCCAGGTCCTACAACCACAGCCAGTTGTGGCTAATGTCCTGAAGTATGTGTTCGTGACCTATATTGTCGAAAGCCTTTTTCTATGTCTAATGTGAGAATGGCTCTGGTTTGGGCTGTTGCCGTTTGGGATGAAATAGAGCCTCTTTAACATGCAGGAGGACATCCTGCAGCCGATAGGTTGGGGCGAAAGCCAAACTGGGTGTTGGGAAAGAAATTGCTAGCTTCTAAACTGTGGCTGTAGTCCACGGAGAACAACATGCTCAAAAAGTTTACCTACACAGCTTGTGAGCGAGATAGGTCGTAAATTTTCGAGAAGTAGTGATTTGCCTGATTTCGGAATCAGATTATTTTGTGCATGTTTCCAAACACAGGGCAGTGTGTTCTTGCTCCAGTGTTCGTTAAAGAGATCCGTGAGCTCCTGTAGAGACACGTCATCTAAGTTTCGGAGGATCTTGTATGTTATACGATCCGGGCCTGGTGCAGTGTCTCGGGTAATACAAGCAAGGGCCTGTTTTACCTCTGCAAGTGTGATATCTGCATCCAAGTTTTCGTCCGGATCAGGGGGTGTTAAAGGGAGTGCATTCGGATCTGCCAGTAGGGGCTGAGGAATGTAAAGGTTTTTTATGTGTGTCATAATGTCTGCGCCTTTTTGCTCTTCTAGGTAAATGAGCTCTTTGGTAGCGGTGTGAATGTGGTTTTTGGTCGACATGGGATCTAGAAGAGCCCTTAGGATGTTCCATGTAGATTTTGTGCCAAGTGTTCCTTTCAGTGTCCCACAAAAGCTTTCCCAATTTGCTTTCGCTAACTGGGTGGCATACTGTGCAGCTTCCTCTGTGACTGCAGCAATACGTAGGCGAAGTTTGCAGTTTAGTCTGTGACGCTTCCATCATTTACAAAGGCTTCGTCGGGCCTCCCACAGATGGAGGAGGTGGGGGTCGATTTGAGGCACATTTTGCGTGTTCTGAATCTTTTTACCAGACCTATCAACAGCATCTCGTATCCTTTGAGTCCAGGACTCTATAGATTGCAGAGTGGTATCATCCGCGGCAATATATGTGCGGAGTTTATCCCAGTCAACGAGGGCCTGCATTTTAGGTAAAAAAATTTTGGAATTTTGCGTTATGACAGTTCGAATCACATGGTGGTCGCTACCTAATGTATCCGGCAGAACCTCATGTGTTTTTACTATTACATGTGTACTCACCATCGTGAGGTCAGGCGTGGTATCCTTGGCAGTGCTAGTGCCTACTCGCGTTAGCACAGTAGGATCAGTAATTAAGGCAAGTGTGTGGGGCATCATGGCGTTATGTACAAGGTTACCTTTCGGTAAGTTACTTATGTAACCCCATGCGGTATGGTGTGCATTAAAGTCACCTACTATAATGCGATGTGTGGATCCGCGTTTGAGCAAGAATTTCGGGTATGCCGGTGCCCTTATCTTTAGGGGTGCTGTATATGTTGATTACCAAGAGGCCTTTACCCGATGTGTGATTCGACGGGATTACCTCAAGAGCAGTGTACTCAGTTCCTTTCTCTGATGAGCTTTTCGTAGGGGTCCGATCTATGAATGGAAGGGTGTTGATGAATAAGAATAGCAGTGCACAATGTTACCGATGCCACCTGATATCCTTGCAGAGAGAAAGGCACAGACCCCTGTCTCCTGCAGAGCCACTATATGATGTGGTTCAGCGGAATGTTGAATGTAGGCGGTCAATCGAGTGTTTCTTTCTGATGCTTCTACAATTCCACTGCCATATGTTGATATCAGATGAATTTAGATTTTTGGATGGAGAAGGCAAACCCGCTCTTGCGGGATTTCGTCGATCACTAGAATTCGCCATGTTGAGTAGTTGTGGGAGTGGAAACTCCCCATTTTGAGCTGTTCACCTGCTCCATGTGCTGAGAGGAAGTGGCGGCAGATTTGGGTTGTTTATGCTTACGGGTTGGTAATGACTGAGCTCCCATACCGTACAGGTGATTAATTGCAGCCTCAATTTTTTCCATGCAACTAAACATGGTCTCCATTCTCTGGAGGGCCTGTTCTTGTTCGTTAATCAGTTGTGTTTTAACAGCCTCGAGGCTATCACTCACGAACTTTAGAACTAGTTGTGTGAGGGCTTGAGTGAATTCTGGGGTTTGGAAATACTGGGCACACGTCTGTTGAACGAGGGCCGGTGAATGGGGTGGTGTTGATAGTGAAGGATTTTGGGAGGCCTGCTCAACGGGCGACTTACCAGGGTCAGCCAGGGGGTCCTGACGTCGCTGTAGCTGCAACTGTGGGGCTTGATCTAGGCGACCTCCTGCAGCCAAGCCAGGTGAACTCGAGGCCGCTGCCCTGGCCTCCAAGCCAGGTGCATGGGTGGACTCTCGTTGCGGGAGTGCTGGCCACGTATTGTAGCTTTTCGCATTGCACTGCGAAGAAGGTGGTTGGTAGTTCCTGGATGAATGCGCAGATGCCTGGATGGGTGGACGGTGGTTGGGGTTGAATAGGTTGCGAGGTCTGTTTTCCATGCTTTGGGGTTTTTGAGCACTTAGATCGAGCACTCCTACCGTGGCCTTCGCTGCTGGCGTGCTGAGGACTGCTGCGAGGTTGGTTGTTTGCTGTCAACTGTTCAGAAAGTTGTTTCAGTGGAGGGTCATTGGGCTTTTCTAAGAGCTGGCGTTCATCTCTCAGAACACGGGGCTCAGGTCTCCTTTGTCGGGCTTGGCAACCCAGGTCGATGGTGGGGTGTTCGTCGGAGCCACAGGCTAAACAGCGCGCGACACAACCATCATGGCGTTTCCTTGGGTTGAGAATGCCACCATTTTCACACCTGCGTTCCTGTGGATATGAGCAGATGTCGTGTCGGTGGCCAGTTCTGAGCCAGCAGTGACACACTTGGGTGACTGGTCGGAAACGTCTGCATCGAAATTCCACACCTTGAAAGTAAACGTATTAGGGAACACGCTTTCTCTCGAAGGTGTAGAGGCATGCTCCATTCGTCCCGAATAGTCGCGCTTGGATAATATTGATACTTTGGGGATAAGTGACAGTGTCGTTCATGAGGGCGTCCTCTGTGGGTATAGGGAGGGCTCCTGTGATTACTCCCTTGCAGGAATTATCTGGGGAAGCCACGTAAGCGGAGACTTCATACGATCTGCTTGCCGAGCTTGAGCGTCTGCACATGGCACAGCTGTACCGCGAGGTCTGGGTCTGAGCTGCTGATTAGGGCGATGTTCTGCTCCTTGCGTACTCGTATCTGCGCACTCATGGGCAAGGGGGATTGGAGCGCAGTTTGTATAGCAGCGCGCAAGGGTAAAACCACTTCTTGTTGCAGAGATATGCCTCCTCTTATACGAAAGATCATCTTGTGGTCCTCTACGGGAAGGCGTGGCAGGTGGGGCCGGCCGGTTCCATGTCTGAGCTCGCGTTGATGCAATGTGGCTGGTGGCGTCGCGCTAGGCCTCCTCGGCAACAACCTTCTTTCTGCGAGCATCGATCACCCGAAACCACGGGGTGTGAGGTACGAATGGCCGCAGATATGTATTGTTGGACGCTTTCGGCAACATCGCTCGGACCAGGGGGTAGAGTCGCTGGGCCCGACATTGTCCATGGGTTCGAAGTCATCAGCATTCATGCAGTCCAGTTGGTATGGTGAGTCAGAATCGATGGTGGTCCTCTCTGCGAATCAGGCTCCTGCCCAGTTCGCTTTGTTGCGAGGCGCCTTGCAGGGCGCGTCGCAGAGCGCGCCGGGCACCAACGCGGCTGGCGCGTTTGCCCCGAGCCGCTGCAGGGGGGGGGCGCGACTAGGCTTAATGTTGTGACCATCCGTTACGGTTTTCAAACATTCGTTTCTCATTGAAAAGGAGTCCAGCTGCAAAAATATTGGTGCCAGATGAAAGATGGTGACTTGCCTGTTGCGATTCTTGTGCGATTTTGTGCCGATGGTCATAAAATCCTGGCTCTTGAGGATGGATAAGTAGAGCCAGATGTGGCCCGGTCTGCATGCGTAAGCGCCCCCCCCCTGAATTTTTCGAGAATCCTAGTGTCGGCATGGAGGCGGCCGTTTCGAGGTGTAGAGAAGGTGCGCATGCGGCGTCTTTAGGTGCCCTTTTTTTATGTTGTGCACACTTCTGGATTAACTGGCGCCTGCATTTCAAGCAGATGCTCTATAAAAGCAATGCGTGCGTATATGTGAGTGCTCGTTTGGACTCAAGCTTCTGTGCTGTTCGTCATGAACTGAACTAGTGTTTTGTGGTATTTGCATGTAATAACAACCACAACTTATTGCACCATTAAGGTGCACTAAGTTGGGACAGCTATTAGCAAGAGATCACGTAGTGATGGATCCGGTAGAGCTACGGCTTTCTTTTTTTCTCCCAATGTTGGGCCCCCTTCCTACAGCAGATTCATTTATACGCAAAGAACAGAAAAAGCAAATATGTGAAGCAATGAAACACACATAACAGAAGCTGCATGCATCTTTCTAGCCCCGAAAATAACATCCGTAATCTACACTAATCACAAGTTTTGAACATCAGTCGATCCAGCCTTGCTGCAGCACGTGATGCATCGTGCAAATAGCTAATTGCAGCAAAAGTGGGATAACTGTCTTGGTAGGAAGCGCAGCCACTATTACACAGCACACACAACATAAGTGCTTGTGTGTTCTGTGTAATAGTGGCTGCGCTTCCTACCAAGAATGGATTCATACCAACTGGCCTAATACAATTGTTCATTGAAATAACTGGCTTATTCCTGCACTCACTCACTATGGTGATGTTGCTACCTACTCACTCGCTTAGTTACCTCTACATCATTAACCACATAACAAAATAAACTGCTAAGCCGTGATCGTGTCTCAGGAGTGGCCTTTCCTTTCTTGCCAGGAGGTGCACAGACAGCTGCTGTGACTACTGCATCCAAGAGCTTTTTTGATGTAGCCTGCAATAATTATTCATGCACCTTCATTTCTGCGAAAGAAATTAAAGAATAGAAACTTACCATGTTTGGCTGGCTCTGTTATGGGACAGGCCACAAGCTCACCCCCAGTAGTTTTGGGGGTACCTCACATGCCATCGAGAAGTGCCATCCTTTGTACAGGCTTGGTCACGCTGACTGTTCTCATTGCAGTGAAGTACAGCAAGTTGTGTCCTGAGAGAAAGTTGCACTTGCTTGAGTGAACACACAAAGAATAGCAGCATCTGATTTCTGCAGTTTTAAAAATACTGATACCTCGACCCGGCACAATATGCAGTGAATCAAAGTTGGCATAGTTAATATAAATGTAACACTAATTATGTACATTTGCAATGGCTGTTAATATTCTTGTACCAAAACAAATGACAAGAATTAGTTTGAAGCAGCTGGACTCTTCCCAGCACAAGATGAGTGTCAGAAAAGCAACAAATAAATCGGGAACTGCTCTGCTGGAGGAATATCGTTTTCATACTAGCATAAGGGTAGTGGTATAACTTGGGTGCAAAATGAAGTAGCAGGCTGTGAAACGCCTCAAGTCCACACGTCTAGTATTTTTTAGAAAGCACGAAACACACCAAAAACCTAACCAATATTGGCTAGGACTGACTGTTGAACATTACACCATGTCGACCATGTTATTTTGCAATGCTTTGACCTTCAGCATCGCCTTACATTTAATAGGCCAGCTAACAGGATCAGACAATCTTTTTGCACCCCCCCAAACAAGCTCGCCAATCTGTACAGTAGACCGCGGTAATCACATCTGCCAAATATTACAGCGCTGTGCACCACGCAGACCCTCCATTTCGAAAAACGATCCCGCGCTTGTTTCCCCCTCATATGCGCAGTCTGACAAAAGCTTGCCGGGCAACGTTGCGCACCCCTGAGCTTGTCGATTGATTCTTGGCCCTACAGAACGGCGGCTTGGCTCTGCGGTCTTGCAGTTCCAGCTACGCAGTCTGTTTTTTCTTTTTTCTGGGCTGCCCTCTGCCGTTTTGTAGAGACCAATACTTCAGGAGAAGCGGTATCATCAGAATGAAAGCCTCCGAGATAAAAAGACATCTCGCTACTTTACCATGCAAGGAGAAGTTCCTCCCCGCTCAGCATTTCCTGCCTGTGCCGGTATGACACGTGCTCATGTGAGGAAAAAACCCTGCTCGGTCGTTAGTTGCATGCCAATGAATTATTACGAACATGGTGTCACAGTGGCAAAGTGGACGGAGCAATGACTTTTTTGCGAAGAAAGGTGGGGAGCGGCCGCATGAAAATTTGAAACGAGCTGTAACGGGTTGTTCTAACCCCTGTAACTTTCTCATTATAGAATATATTTGCAAAGTTCCTGCGGCAGCATGTTGACATAGCAAAAATGAGCATATTTCTCTTGCATAAAATTTTTGGACCTCGGGGTTGTTTACTGCCCATTTAAAGCTCTGCTTGCCTCAACAGAACAGCTATTTATTGCCATGAGCATCAATGGAGACATCACAACATTTTTTTGCAATGCTCTAATATTCTATTTTGCATTTATTCACTGTCATTCCCATAATTACATGTTATTATGGTGCAGTGTAAAAAAGCATATAGTCTTTTTAGTTGGACGCATTGAATATCAGTCTACTGGCATTCTAATGCGAATTTTACAATGTTCCTCGACCTTCGGACCATCCTTTAGCAGCTATTATATGGAAAAGTTATCAATACCTTACAATCTTCAATGTTGTGTCAGTATACTAATTTAGGACCACTTTTTGAATATATGAGTAGTGTTGCTGTATAACAAAAATACTCTCGAATTGAAATGTATAAGGCCCAACCCTTGCTTTTTTATAACTGCTCACCTTTTTTTAACCATTGTCTAGGCTTATGTCACCATTTTAACATGAGAGGAAACAACTCATTCTCAGCTCATGAATGCCTTAAACCAGGTTCAAAAACGACTTCCACTTTAAACAATAACTTCCCTAGTTTCCATCACTAGAACCTACTGCTCAATATGCATGGTTAGTAATAGATTTTATCTATGGCAAGAGCTCCTAGCAGTCACTTCATTTTGCTGCAGTCCGCAGCTTCCTGCTGACCATTGAAATGCACATTTAAAACAGATAACTGTGACCACTGATTGTTTTTGTAAAGCCACTCCAAGTAAGCCTCTGTCTATTGTTTAAAAAATTTATTATGGTACCTTTCACTATATGCCACACATCGTACTTGTGTTCGGTTTCTGCCTTGGGTTTCTAGCATGAAACACTTCACTAAGAATGTCGGTCCGTGATGAGAAGAGACACTTCAACATCAGTTGTTGTCCAAGAAATCAAGGTCACGCTGTAGCCCATCAAGCTCATGCGACAGCTGCCGCCAACCTAATAGGACTGCAAATTTAATACGCACGTTTGTGATAAACATTTTATAAGAACACAAACTTGTTAATATGTCATAGTATAGTCATAACACACCTGCGTGACCTCAAAGTGCAATATGTTGTTTCTCTCCACATCCAGCAAGGAATATGCACCGTACATGGCGCTATAACCAGGCGAGTCTGCTTGCCCCATCCCCAGCAAGCTTCATCCTTTCGCTTCTGGGCACCTAGAAGTAGAAGCTTTTGGTCATCTTGATAGACCTGAAAAACTTGAGTTTAATGAGTGCATCTCCTTAAAGAAAAAGTCCTGAGCTGCCTTGTTTACTTTGCCAATGGCAGGCCACAGGTGTATGCGCTGAGTGTGAGAAAACGTCTGCTCACTGACAACTTGTACCTCCATCACTGAAAGCATTCTGAGGTGAACTGTCAGGTTGTAGCCCGGAAACAGCACTGCTACACAAAGTTTCATGTTCAGAACTGGTTGCCATTTTTCCACATCTTGGTTGCGCCAGCAGAATGCATGGCCTGATTGGTACTGACCATTAGCCTCCATTAATGTTCCCCACATGTGAATGTCACCGCACATGGAGCGAGGCAGACGCTGCACACAATCAGGACGTCATGTTGGCACTTTTCTTGAACGAAGAAAATTCTGCTCTCTTGGCCTAATGTCTGTGTTTCAGGCAGTTCTTGTCTGAAAGAGAAAAAAAGTTCAGCACATTCTGATTACTTTTTATGTACAGCCACATTTTTCATGGCAAAGCCATGCATCCTTCTTTATGTAATTCTAGTATACAAAACTATAAGCAGCACAGTGTAATGCGGCAGTAAAAGCATGCGAAAAAAGAAGGAAGAACTAGGCGCAAGGGATCGCTGATCAGTGGCTTCCAACCGTCCCTTCTATTTCATTTCTTTAATGCTTACTGCTCATTGTAAATGAACACATCGCTTTTGCAACAATAGCACTGCAGGGCATACAGTTCATCAAGCCCATTAAAGAGCTGTGATTGGGATCATGATATTCGTCGTTACAGGAGAGGGACATCAGGAATTATGTCCTGACACTCCTTTCCCTGCATGCTCACATTGACATGTGTGCTTGCATGAGTCATGACTGTTCCACCAACCTGTATACCTGAGAACAGAATATGCAGCCCAGCTGATGCACCACTGCAACCAATACAATATGTTGGCGATGAAGCGTGTCAGTAAAGTGTAGAGCTACTATAATCATGAGTAGAAATCAAAATATTCTAGACCTGTGACCTTTAGGTGCAAAGTACATAGTATCACAAGTGCAGCAAATTCGATTCACAAAAACGTACCTATTGAAATGCTTTGAGGCTTTGCTTGGGTGAAGCGTTAACCTCTGCTTTTCTTTATGTCTGTCTGCACGCCCTTGTTGCATGTTGTTCGCTGAAAACCTGCCTGCACGCCCTTGTAGCGTGTTGGCGGCTGCACATCTGCACGCACGCTCTTGTTGCGTGTTCGCTTCACATCTGTTTGCATGCACTGGTCACAAGTTTGTGGATTGGAAATGCTCACTCCTTGTACCTCCTGGGGATGATCATCTGGGCAATCATCAAGTGTTGCAGCCACTGAAACAGTGAGAAAAAAAAGTATCCTTGAAATAAATATGCAAAATGGTTAAGCTCATAGGATTTTGTACATGTACTGTGAACTGGTACATACCTGCTGGATTACCTGGTGAAGAGTTCTCACTTGAACTGGGGCCTGGCCTTTCCACTTTGTCATTTCCACTGCCTAGCAATTCTGCAAGCATCTGTAAGAACAAATACATGTTCATTTTGGAGCTCACTACGTTCATGCTACACGTGAGACGGCTTTCAAGTAGGGGCAGATACATACAAAACAAGACACACCTGAACATTCATGTTGGGATATTATTTTGCAGTCCCACTTTTTTTTTCTGAGCAGTGTGGTAAAAATACCAACACATTCATTTCGATATACTGATATGTAGCATGTCTGCATAAATCAATCTCAGCACTACTGCCATGACGAGACCATTCAGCACAGAGTAGATTGTAAGCAGCAGAACAATATGTAGTACAGGCCGAGCTTCTGAACAAGAAAGCTAGGGCTAAGAACACTTTAGGTGCCAGTGGTACGCCAGCTTACAATATACACATTTGGAACTATTAACCATCAAACCTGTCACACAGGCAATGATCAAAATCGAAAAAGCCTTTATTTAGATCCAGTGCTCTTCACCGACTTACTGGACTTTGATCTTGTGGCATTCGACAGTGATCGAATGTCATGGCAGGGATTAAATGTTGTTGTTTGGATCATCGCAGCAAGGTTATGTTTGGCATTGCTATAGTGTACTAGAATATATTAGTGGGTTCAGGAGAAGGCACGCTCCATGCAGTCACTTGAAACGACGAGTCCTGACAGGCCCCGCAGGTGTGTGGTGGTCCTGCGGTAGTGTGGGTATATGCCCAGTATGGGGCAGCAGTAGAAATGGGCAATTAGAAGCCACAAATGTGACTATTTCGCACAAAGAAATAACGAGGAAAGGGTTCAAGGGGAACGCAAACTTTCCACAATTTATTCCAAAATTACAGCAGGGCAACATATATGCAAAAGCATGCACGGAAAGCAAGGCACATATCAAACAGATAACGCTTAGTGCAATTTAATACATAGGTATAGGCATGCGTCAAAGGAAAGGCCTACATCGATCGGATAACACCTCGATCACAACCTGCGATCCAAGAACGTGTTCTCTGCCTGCGAAAGAAACAAAGTAGTGTCACTAACGTATAATGAACCTTGTGCTTTTATGTGAAAAGCTTCCAACAGCCCTTGAACAGGTACAGAATGTCCCTGCTTTTTCCAGAATCTGCATTTTATTCAGATACGGCTCACTTGTGTGAACTTAACTTATGCAACGCCAAACAGAACCTTGCCCTACAAGGTCCCAGATAGAGCAAAGCTATCATGAACAGTATCTGCGTGACAGCTCGCGATCCGCGCGTTTCGTAACGATTTCAAGGGAGCGTCGCGGAAGCGAGGCAACGCAGTGAGCCTAGCACGGAGGGACCACAGCGCCGCTGCGGTAGGTGCGTGCTCACTACGCGCAGCTGTGCCGCATAAATGGTCTAACAGCCTGACCTCAAGTTTTCGTCTTTTCACGAAGGCAGGTCGTGGTGGCGGTGAGGGACCCCTCAGGTGCGGAAACACAGAAGGGACCGCGTCGCTGTTCAGTCGCGCACATCTGGTCATCAATCCCAGCGACCGCGTGAGAGCCGGGCTTCGTACGTAATCGCTGTCGCGGAAGTGCTTGGAGCACAGCACGCTCGCTCTCGTAGGTTTGAAGCCTTTTCTTTTAAATGCAGCTACCCATTTTGCAGCCATTTTCTTATCCCGAGGAAATTTGTGAAAAGCGACGTCATCGCGACCGTAAGTGCTGCGGCACCCATGTGCCGCGCAGTAATTCGGCATTGCGATGTCCACTTCAACCTCGCACTGACACAACAAGTGAATGTCGGATGGCAAAAATATCCAATCAGATGAAGACGGTGCAACGGCAAGATATCCCTACGAACTGGCAGAACTGGTGCTTCGCTAGATAGAAGATAGCAGCAGGAACAAGGCACAATTCCGAAGTAAACAGGCTGCACGGCACCGGCGGCCCGGCTGATCCCGAAGCCGACGTCACCAGAGAACACCCCCCACCAGGGAACACCTATGCCCCCACTAGAGTGTACTACTAGAGCTTCTAGTACACTCTAGTACTACCCTATGCCCCCACTAGAGTGTACTACCCCACGATGTCATGCCGGCCCAGAGATCTCTCCACGCACGGAGGAACCTTTCCTTCCTCCGTGTCTCCACGTGTACTCTCTCTCTCTCAAGCGCTCCCCGCCAGTGAAGTTTTTTCCTTCCTCCATGGTGAAGCGCAAGCGAGAAGCGCGGAAAAAAAATGACCGCAGTTTCCCGAGTTGGAACACTGGTTAGCATGCGGAGCATATAGCCGTAACTCACGCTGAGCGATGGAATTCTACCGGCAATTAACGCCTGATTGCGCGTGGCACACGCGACGTAGTCGGCAAATTCGTCGGCGTCGCTTCCAAACGCATCGCAAAGAACCAACAACGCTTTGGAACGATGCAGTTCATTCTGAATGTTGCCGATCCGCGTCAAGTTGTTGTCGAACCAAAGTCGATCACACACCTTGCTGCTGTGACCGAAGCTCCGGCCGAGGAAGTCTCGTTTGAAGCGAGCGTTGGGCGTGGCGTACTGCTTGGCTCGCCACGCCGCCATCGCAGCGCGCTCGCGCTCGCGGGCGGCATCGAGATCGGCCTCGCGGCGTCGACGCTTGCACGCGGCTTCAGCGCCCGGATTCTCTTGCCGACGCTTACGCCTCGCAGCAGCTTCGCGTTCTCGAAGCTGGGAATCTACCGCTCGACGTTGACGTATCGCAGCTGCTTCGCGTTGGGGATCCTCCGCTCGACGCTGACGTCTCGCAGCTGCTTCACGTTCTCGGAGCTGGGGGTCTTCCGCTCGACGCCGACGTTTTCGTTCCGCATCGCGAGCTCTTCTCAGCGCGGGTTGCCCACGGGCGAAGTGTCTTCGGAATTGCTTGCGGTTCCGCCAACACACTGGCTGACGCTATTGGAAGGGACGTCATTAAGTGTGTTTGCGGATTCGTTAGCATACATTGTCACAGCGGCGTCGGACCTGGACAACCGCACAAACCAACCGACGAAGGGCAGCGCGCCCCGACACTCGGTTATTTATAGCGAGCGCCGGCCCCGGCCTGCGCATGCGCACGTTAGCATACAGCTGGCTGGCGGAGGAGGGGGAGGCTGCTGACGGCGACGGCGCATCACTAGCCCCTAGTATAACATGCTCCGTGAGAGAAGCGGAGAGATCCTCGCCTCTGCTTCACTGTGCCGGGGAGCATTACCTCAACCAGTGATGGCTCTCCAGCTGTTTTACGACATTCATGTTACGAACTGATACATTTGACACATTGCCACAAGATGTATTGCTGTCTTTCGATTGCACCGCTCGCCTGATGACATTTCATTTATCATCGAGTACCAAGCTACCGAAGTCTCCGAGACATCGGGAACAATTTCAAAAGAAATGAAGAAATAGCAGAGAGCTCGAACTGCGAAACGCGGAATGTGGAAGAGCCTTCAAAGGAAGAGCCTTCACACGACGAGGTGCACAAAAAGCTTGCTTCGTCTGGCTCTTTAACTCATCTGCCTGCCCGAATACGTGCGTAGATATTTATTCGTTCTACATATCGCCTCATTCACGATATTATTTAGACAACAGCGATAACTAGCGGGTCTAGTGCAACATTTACCTCGCAAGAAAAAAAAAAAGGAAAGAAAAGATGAATTCTGGGACGGAGAAAAACGCGGCAAACATGCAGTAAATGTGTAAAATTCAATACCACGTGTATTTGCTGCCGTGACTGCGCTCGAGGCAGCAAATAAGATTAATACTGTATAAGTAATGCAGCTTAGTTCGAGCTCATACGGTGCTGGTGCACATTGCACAAGCACTAGCGATATAAACATCGCAACAGTCGACTTTTGTACGAAGTCAAAGCCACGAGTTCAAGTCAAAGCCATAGGTGCAAGCGTGTTTTAGGAAGCGTGCGTGTGTATGTGCGTGCGAGTATGTGCTGTAAACTTACGGCTCAAAATGCAGTGAAATCCCGACTGACACGTAGTGTTTGTGCAGAAACTGTGCGACTAAGACTGCCGTGAACCCTACTGGCTCAGTTTATTTTCGCATATATTTGTTGCGATTGAAACTGGAACCATGAAGCGAATCTCTATTGAGAGGATTCAGGAGCTGCAACAGCGCACTCAAAACATACGAAACATATGCATACTTGCCCATGTGGATCATGGTTAGTACCGTTCTGTGCGAATCGTTAGTCGTTCATTCATTGAGTATAACATGTGCAAGTGAGGATTTTGTGGTCTTGGACGTGTCTTGAACGCTACGTCAAACGAGTGCTGCATCGAGAATTCGAGCCATATGACAAGCGTTGCGCCGACTATACTGTGCCTTTTCTTTTTCTTTTTTCAGGGAAAACAACGCTGGCAGACTCGCTGGTTGCTAGTAACGGCATCATATCGCAGAAATTAGCCGGAAAGGTTCGTAATACTTTACGTTACTGATGTTGTTTGCATAAATGCCATACCCGGAACACTAACGCATGTTTTCGCTTCTTGTGTGTGTGGGTTAAGGGTGATATGTTGGCCTGGGATGAGAGCTCCATGTTTCAACGTGATTGCCTTGTTTGATACCGACTACGTGCCGCCGATTGCCACACCATGTAGCATGCCTTGAACACACTTACATTTCGATATAGTTCTGTAGTAATGTTAAAACTCCTAAATGGAACAACCAAATAAGACAAAAGTTCAAATAAATATGGAGGCCTGACGCGATGAAAAACTGTAGAGCAGCTTTGACAAATATGTGCCAGACCCCTTGTTGACACATTGGCTCGAGCAGCATTCCTTGCTTGATCACCTCTAACCACTAAATTCAACTAAAACACGTCATGTTAGAGTGCCCTAAATTCGTTGTACAGGGATCACTACTTAAAAAAGGACTATGGACTGATTGGACTTAGGTGCACGGCCCTTGACAATTGCTTGTTCCCAGGAGGATGTGCTCCAAGGTGTGACAAGGCTCCCCTTTTAACTTTCTTAAAAAAAACGGGCTTGGTGTCGCGTTTATAGACATGTTTTATGTGACTATTTATTTGTATGTGTGTGTGTGTTTCCCACCTTTTTTTTCTTTCCTCTTCTCTCTCCTTCTTCCCCCTTTTCCTTTGTCTCCCCTCCGAAGGAGCAGACAGGCATTGTGCCCCTATAGGTGGCAGTTGTCAGCCTGTTCCCTTTTTATTTCCTCTGTCTTTGTGTTTTCTATGTACACAAACCAAATAAAATAAATTCAACATGCCATTATGTAATGAATTCTTATCTTACAATAGTCCTTTTGTAAAATGTCTTTTCAGTGAACAGCTACGTGTATTTGTCTGGGTTCACACTTGTCAGAGTGAACCCAGCTGAGCATTTCTTACATCTTCACTATCTAGCAGTCTTGTTTGCTTGGCATAGTGCTTCCTGTGTGTGTATAATGTCACTAAGGATTCATGTTGTTTTGTTCGCCCTGCCTTGCAGTTACGCTATCTAGGACAGCAGAAAAGATGAACAAGAACGTGGAATTACCATGAAGTCCAGCGCTATCACACTTTTCTATCCAAAAGGTATGTTGGCATGCTTTTATCGTACATTCATGTTGCACTTTAGTGATGACATAACCTTATTGCAAATTACCTTTTTGCATGTGGAAGTGGTCTTTTGCTAGAGCTGATAAATCTTTAAGTCTTTTAATAGATTAGTAATTAAATCTAAAAAAAATGCAAATTTTGCTCCACTTTTGTTTAATACCATTGGAATCTGCACGAGCTCTCATCACTAGGACCACATACCAGTCCTGCTAGTTTTAACACAGTTTTATTTCCAAAGAGTGGATGCTGGGCAAATACCTATTTTGTTCCTTGTGAAAAAGGGTTTATTGGCGACTGTTCACACTTGCAATACTGCGGCCCAACTTCTGAGCTGGGATCAGAGGTTAAAAAGAGCATATTTTTGTAGTGCCAATAAATGCCCCTTTCGACGCTTGTGCCTAAATACCTATAAATGCTTATTTTCAAGGTCGGCGATTATATGAACATTTTTTAGCCTCACGTTTCACTCCTGATTGTGTTTTGAGACCATTATTCATGTTACCGGGCAATTTCTACTGTTCAGAAGGCTTTGGGTTTCAACCTAGTGCTCTAGTTTAAACAATGCACCAAGACGTTCGCCTGCAGCAGTGAGGTGGGACGTGCTGGCCAGCTTATGACGCATTGCTGACATGACATGAGTAGTCGGTGAATGCGAAACCTGGAACAGCCGGCAGCGGAAAGGAGACTAAAAGGGAAGAGAAGAAAAAAAGAAGTCACAGCTTTGCCACAAAAACGAAGCAATAAATGCGATAGCAACAAATTGGAAGGTCACGCGTCGAATGGCAAGCAGATTGAGACGTGCCCCACATTTCTCACGCACAAAGACACATGAAACGTACTCACAGGTACAGATGAACCTGAATAAGCATCTCAGTTGTTGCTTGACAGTGTCTAAAAAGTGTGCCCTTTTTGCAAAGGGAGACTGTGCAACAATTGCAGTGACCTTTGTGTGCCCGGTAGCTACAACAGAAACGTTCTGGTGAAAGCCCAACGCCAGCCAAGACGTAGAATCATCCCCACCCTGAGATGAGGGCCTGTGAGCGAGCATTCACCTTTTCCACTCCAAGGGGCGAAGCACGCGTGGGAGATTAGAATGTACGCCACCGCGTATGCGTTGTGCCGTCTTGTAGGTAATGCTAAAAATGCAATAGTTCCCCCCCTCCCCTCGAGAGGCGTGCTTATTACGCCATCTTGCTGGTAATGCTGAAAACACGATAGTTCCCCCCCCCCCGACATTCCCATCGCCAGTGGTAAGCGGTAGATATAAATAGCCTGCCGTTTGAGCGTTGAAGGACGAGCACATTGGTGGCTCGGTGGTTAAGGCTTCGCACTCATGTTTCAGAGATCGCACGTTCGATTACGCGCGCTGGAGTATTTTTAAAAATTTTTTCTATCTTGCGTTTTCATATATATAGATATGTATACATGTACAGTGACTGACGCCAACGTCAGCAGCAAAATCCAGCGGAACGGGTCCATATAATTGCTATCACAAGTAAAATGTGGTGTGCATGCTGCTTTTGTTTTGTTTGTAATTGACTTTTAACAGTCTTCAGCTGCTAGAGAAGAAATTGGCTCTATGCAATTCGACCTGGCCTATAGAAGGCAACCCTCCCATCTAGTCTTTTAGCAGTCTTGCTATCTGATCATGCTCTGCCCTTCTCAGTGATGACGAAATAAAAGACTTCCAGGAGTGTGTTGATTCGATAAGTGGACATTTGACCATTCATGATGTAGGTTAAATGGAGAGACCGTGTTATTTGAGACTGTTCGGCACGAAAGGAAATTGCACAGGTTATAATGAATTGTTATAACCTTTGCCCCATTGTAAAAAATGATGTTTTAGAGGTCATGAACATCATTTGAAATCAGTTTGCATCTATTTCTAAACTTATTGTGCCTATGTTCAGCGATGTTAGAGGCCGAAAACATGGTTCTACAAGCCCATTTCCAGCACTTAAAAGATGCTCTCTTTTAGTGCCTGAAATCCGGCCTCTTGATTGCGTTTTCAGGAGACCTGCTAGTCAACTTGATAGACTCGCCTGGCCATGTTGATTTCACCAGTGAAGTCATGGCAGCTGTTCGACTCTGCGATGGGGCTGTCATTGTTGTTGATGTTGTGGAGGGTGTTTGTGCTCAGGTGAGTGTAACTATAAAATAATTTAATACCAGTAAACTTGCTGCATTGGCAGCACTGTAATTAAAGCGAAACATATATATCACTACTTAGTGACCTTTCTGCACATGGAAAAGCCAGACGTTTCTGCCACTCTTGAGGCTTTTACTTCCTCATAACTTGAAGCAATGTTGATTACAGTTGAACCTTCAAACAAAAAACTTGAGTTATGCTGTATACCATTGTATTTTTGAAATGAATGTTGCCTTCGTCAGTGTGGATCGTCAGATCAATAAAATAGGGTCTTTGTGACATGAAACCAGAAGTGTGTCATTCTTCTGCCACTAACATATTGTTCCATATGCATTGTCATGTATCATAGTGAATGCTTCACCATTGTAGCCTTATTATAGTGCGCACACATACTGCTTCCCTCACCTGAAGTGCTTCCCAACTATTTGTTTACTATCTAGTTTTATGAGAACATAGAGTTGTGAGTAATATTGTGTCTAACAAAGAATAACGAGCCCTAATTTACACTTCTTTCCTTTACTCCCTTGTTTGCATTTCTTGTATATTTAACCCATTGGGTTGCATTTCGGAATGATAACTTTCAGCAACAATGTCGCAAGCCCCTCTTGTGAAAGCAAGTATGTGGCTGAAAGTAACGGTGTGGCTATGGCTTTATTTGCTGCAGGTTTCATTTGTATTGGCTTATACCGGTTTGCGTAGTTGGAGAGAAGAAGGTTGAGATATGAAAGTGCAAACTGGCAATGTTGATGGGTAAACAGCTGGGCAGGGAGCACAGTTGAAATCAACTGAGTAGTTGATTTAGAGCTTGCCATTTTTTAGCCAGTTTAAACTTCATCTCTTCTAGCTTTACGGGGGGGGGTGACTAGATGTCGCAGTTTGTGAAAAAGACATTAAATTCAGTATTTTTCACTAGTTTCTGCCTGAAAATGAAGTTGTGTCAACCAGTTTCAGCACCCAAACTTTCAGTGGGCTGACAATCTTGGTTTAAGAAATTTTTGTTTATCATCTCTTTAAATTACAATAGGAGGGAGCCATCTGAAGAAGCGTACAACTGCTTGGATAATGTCGAAAATATATTTTATTCTGATTTAGGCATAAAAGTAGGTAATGGTATAGGTGGTTCTGATGCCTGCCTAATGGGATGATTGTCTGGGACTGGAGATGGACTCACAGAGCTGCAATAGCTTTTTCTACTTTCCGTATAATAGATGGTGTGATAATATATGTATGTACAATTATACATGGTGTCCTTTCTTCCAGACTAAGGTGGCCCTGAACCTTGCTTGGTCCGAAAACCTGAAGCCGATGTTGGTATTGAACAAGATAGATCGCCTTATCCTTGAGAAAAAAATGACACCTCTGGATGCCTACATACACCTCCAGCAGATCCTTGAACAGGCAAGAAGCTTACATCTATCCCATTACATTCTCTTTGTAGATTTGACATTGCATCAGTAGTTTTAAAGGGTGCCTTGAAATACTTTTCTGAATGATTTTATAATGACCTATCACTGTTTATTTCTTCATGAATGGCTTGTTGCAAAGGCTTTTAGAATTCATCTACTAGTGTTAGCGGAGTTACGGTGATCCGTTGCAAGGATCTGAGCACTTTCTTTAAAGTGCCGCGCACCTTAGGGGGCCAGGCGGTTGTATCTCGTCATCACCGTATTCTGTCGTAGCTTGCCGTAATACAGGCAAAACCACAAATGGCATAGCTATCTGTAGCATACTCAGTGCACGCTCTCGCCTAAGAGACATCTTCTTCTATGGTCTTCAAGTGTCTTGATGGTAATAAGTGCGGAGAACTTCAGGGGTTCGGGCGTTAATGTAATCCACGCAAAACAATATACAGTGGAATGTTGTTGTTAGGATCACTGCTCGTGTGAATTTCAGGATGATAGAAATCTTTTGTAGTTCCGGCCAAGGCTCATTAGCCTGTAGTGTGATGGAATATGGTTGCTGCGAACCATTTTTCATCTCATGGCATTTGATACAAACATATGCCAGCATAGGTTTGAACAGATATTGCCAGCTCTGCTAGGGAAGTCACAGCAATATGTGCATGCGAATCATTGAGGCCCATATGTGCTAACGCGTGCCTTCCTGTTTACATTAAAGATGGCATTGGCATCGCCGTTTTTTTATTACACCGTGACACACGCTGCTGTGCTCAAGGCGGCAACATTGTACTGTGTTAATAAGTGTCTGACACATCAAGGCAAGCCATGTCTCCACAGTCAGACATCCTATGAAAGGTAGACAAGGACCGAGAGAGGAAGGTCTTGGCAAAGGAATTAGGCTTCCGAATGCGAACACGCACGTTCGATGGAGAAGTGCGCATTGGCCAACTCTACTATTTGCATGGGAGAAACGCAGTGAAATTCGGTAGTAAGCATGCCGGGGGAAAACCTCTTGCGATGAGAAAATAACAACAAAGGACAGTGGTTCTAAAATTTTCAGGCCTCATCCATTCTGGGCAACGACATCAATAGGTCAGCTTTTGCCACAGTACCCTGGTGTCATGTGAAAAAGTGTGCTAAGAGTAAGAAGGGCTACTTAGTGTTCAAGGGTCGTAACCTATCTGGTTCCGTGCGGCCACCTTATATTTATGACAAGTACTATAATTGACATGGTGGAAATCATGAAGAAACAATAAACGAAAATATACGCCAGCTTTCATTTGTCGCATGCTGATCTTCTATGCTTTCTGGTGATACGAGTTTCGGATCACACGATATAGTTTTCATTACCCCACAAGATTCGTACGACCAAGGTTTTGCTGCATATAAATATAAAAAAATGAGGAAGCAAATGAAAAATAGAAAGGGCAAGTAAAAAAAGAATAGAGAAAGAGGAAGAAATAAATAGATATAGAGAGAGAAAGAAATACAGGAAAGGGGAAGAAGAGGAGAAGAAAGAGAAAAGAAAAAAGGAGGAAAGAGAGAAAATCGAAGAGAAACAAAGAAGGCTGCCCTGTTCAGCATTTCCTTCAGCTTTGGCACTCCCAGTGCCAAGCTGCCTTAATTTCTCTTTCTTGTTTTGACAAGTATATGCTGAAAGCTGCACAGAGAAGGATGACACAGGGAGAATGATGCTATGTCAGCATGACTCATCACCGAACACCTGTTTTTTTTTTTTTTTCGTTGAATCTGTTCACATACTTCTGGTGTAATGAAGAGTGCATAGCAACCTTGGTAGCACCTTTTGTAACCATGCAACTATGCAGCACTTGCTAACAACTATCGTAGCAGGTCCGTGTCATACGAGTGACCTGCTCTGGTTGGAAGTGATGCGTTGGTGGTTTATACTAAGCATGTCTCTCAAACGAAGTTACAAAACCTCGCTTCGGCTCTGCTGTAAAATAGCTTGCTACACTATATACAAACCTATAAAGCAACGTTCTTGTATGTTGCTGCTATGCAGGTGAATGCTGTTGTTGGCGAGCTTTTTGCTGCAGATGTGATGGAAAAAACGTCCAACGAAGTATACACGGACAACTTTACTGAGAACTCTGATGATGTGAGTTGATGAGTATGCTTGGAATTTGTTACACATGTCATGCTGCATTGAATATCTGTCATTAGTACAGTAGCATGCAATGCTGAGCTATGGTTCATGAATTGCTAATTGGTTATGCACTGTGTGACATCTCACTGTAGCAACAGATCGTTTTGCCATCACACTGTCATGGTCACTCGTCGCCACCGGCATGAGCTTACCATTCTTGTCATTGCTGTTGTCAGGATACTTTTATGACGATCCTTGTATCTTCATTGTAACAATATTACACTGCCATATTCATCATGCCACGACTGCAATCATGGTTGTTCTAGTATTTACATTATTTCATGCAGTTAGCAGAATTTGTGAAGGATTACAGAACATTTTCTTCAAAATTGAAGATAGCTGGTGGACGATAAATGAGGAACCGTAGTCGCATTATGTAAACCAAGAGTGATAGGTATAGTTGAAGCCTGCTTGAATTTCTCATTCAGGTATTCAGAAGGTGACATGCTCTAATTCCTTAATTATGTTTCAGTCGCATGAATTTTTTTCGGCCAAATGATTCAGTTTTTATGCACTTGTGCTTGTTTCAGTAATAGAGCAACATCTTGATTAAGCTCGCCTTAGGTTAGAGCACCATTGAGTATACTAATTACACAGATGTGTTCTGATATGTTCATAAATGTCTTTTTTTTCCTGATATGTACCTAAATGTATTTTTTTCTAAAGGCCCTGGTTTTCGACTGGACAAGTGGTCTTGATGACGCTGATGACTCCACCCTGTACTTTTCCCCAGAGCAGGGAAATGTTGTGTTTGCCAGTGCTGTTGATGGCTGGGGATTCAGGTATAGCTAATTATCTTGTTGGCTTGTTGGAGAGCCTTGCAACTTGCATTCTTGTTAAATAGGTTAACAGATTTTAGCCCATTTTGTTACCTTTGATAGAAGTAATATAGAGAGCCCACTCAGTTCTTTAGTCAGCAAAACCAGATATCATGTGTGCTGAGTGTGCCTTCTGCCTGTGTTTTTGAACAGTTGAGCTATGAGAATGCTTCCTTTTTTATCAATGCCTTGTCATTCGATTACACTGCAGCCTAGCCAGTGATAAAAGTGACTATTAATTAGTATAAGATAAAGCCTCTGATCATCAAGTTTTAGCAGAGAAATGCGACTTGTGATCGCAGAAAAGTGAAGGAGACCTTTCTGTTATGGCCTTATAAGTTCATATATCTCCTGTGATCTTAACAAGACACTCAACTGTTGTCAATGGAACTTTTGTGGGGGCATGTTCCACTGAAATATTTGGCAAGTGCAATTCAGGAATTTTTTTTTTAATTGAGCAGAGTTTTTGGCAAGAGTGCTCATTCAGATCATTGACCGATTCTTCGTCTTATGACTTTATATATGACTGTTACATGTGCTAGAAATGCTTCGAATATTTACAGCTTGTAAAAGAGATTTGTGTGCTCTACCACGGCAACTTTGTTTTTTCATCAAATAGCTTGTTCATTCCGCTTAAGAGCTACATCAGCACAATTAAATGAGTTATAGACCATAAACTGACCTTTAACCGGCGGGTCACAAAGCCATTTGCAATGATTTTTTGTGTCTTTGTTTTGCCGTCTTTAGTACATCTCAGTTTGCTCAGTTGTATGCTGAGAAGCTGGGCATGAAGAAACAAGTTCTTGAGAAAACGCTCTGGGGAGATTACTATCTTAACGCCAAGACTAAGCGCATCCTCAAGGGGGCTCAGGTAAGCTACGGTTTATGACCAGCCTTGAAATTATTTCCTAATCCTGGCACTGCAGAATTCTTTTTATCAGAAGCTCATTGTATTTATAAATAACAAGCAAAAACAAAAGAAAGGCTTCTCTTACAGCAAGCCGGTGTAACATGCTGTTGACTCATATAGATTGTACTTTCCAGACGGCAAATTATCACTTGCCATGGGGTCATCCCATGGCAAGTGTTTCAGGCATGTCATTGGCTGACCCAAGGCTTATTCTTCAGTGCTATGCTTGGCATTTCTGGGGAAAAAAATGTATGATTAAAAGTTGTTTGTGAAGATCAGTGTTGATGCCAAGAAAATATGATGACAGTATTGCTTGTAAAATGCACTGCAGTTGAGTCGACTACCCTGAAAAGTGTCTCATTTACAAAAACCTTTCGACTACTTTTCACCCCCAATCTCGACGCCGTGTTTCCAATGAAAATTAGACATCTCGAGACATATACATCTTAGTCGGTTGTTTCAAATTTTCATTCTGGCGTCCTTTTAAGGCCAAGTGCAAGAAGCCTCTGTTTGCCCAGCTGATTCTGGAAAACCTTTGGGAGGTTTATGATGCTGTGTGCTGTAGACGGTATGTATGCAGCATCCTACTTAAATAAGTGCACTGCAGTGTTCAGTCTTGATCTGCGTAGTGATGCGAAACTGGCGCTACTCACAGTAGTTGAGTCATTTGTTACAGTACTAAGTATAGCACACTATAACATCCTCGCACTTGAATATATCGTTAGCATGCAAATGTACCTCAGGCTTGAAGCCTATCAATATGGCCTTGCTTACAGTTTGTGGCTACTGTGCGATATTAGTCTCATAATTGACTTGAAATAAACATTCCTGAAATGTTTCAACATATGCAGTTCCTGCAGCTGCAACAATCAACAAGCCGTTGTTATATTTATTGGTGATTTATCATCAATTACATCAGAAGTTTGGGCGTATGCATGCTGCTCAATTTCAAAGCTTAAAAATGACCTTTTTGGTGCATTTTTACTTTTGTCTATCTTTTTCATTGAATGTTAGTAACAAGACTATGACTTCATATTCTCACTTCTTATAAAGCTGCATGTTTGTTTTGTCTTTCTCTCTTTCAGCGACAAGCTGGCCATGGAGAAAATTGTGAAGTCGCTTGGTGTGACGTTGACCGCACGCGATGCTCGTCACAACGATCCTCGTGTCCAACTGCAAGCCTTATGTTCACAATGGCTACCACTGGCTGATGCCTTTTTAGGTAATGGTGGCCAACGTATTGAGGCCAGTAGGGACCATTATGTAAACACGATTGTGAGTACCAAAACATAGAAATTGTTACAGAGCCTGCTATCTGTTACATAATAATTATTGTTTTCATGATAGACAACATACTAAGGTTTCAGGCACTCTTTGACCATTTCCCTACCGAAGATGGGCAGTGCACATCTGGCCTGAAAAAAGCATCTGGTGGCGCAGCAGCTAGGTTACTCTGATTCATTTAGCTGTCTTCTCTTAGGCTTTAACACTTCTCACTATAAATAAACTTTAAAAACATGCCCAAAGTGGCATTTAGGTCGAGAAAGGACTTTATTCTGGTAACTAAAATTAGAAAATAGCGTCTTCCGCCGTGCGCAAGTGACAGATAAGTGTCAGCAACAGTCCTGTTCAGAACAAAAGAATAAAAATGTGCTTGTTTGCCAAAGTGTTGTAAAACAGAAAAAAACTTCAGTTCTCCTGTAAGTGTTGTAGTGGTTTTACGTAGCAGCATATTTCTCTAAAATCAACGGATTCGGATCATGACTTTGTCCCTACATATTGGCAGTGCACATCATTAGATGCAAGTAAACCCCTACTGGCACATTCAAGGTTTGTTTTCATGGACTCACTTGTGTCTGTACATTATTTTTTTTAATTACAAGGAGTCATTTTGGGCACCGAAGGCTGGAGAGGTTAGGGCACTATTTGGGGTGCAGTTCAGGGAAGTCAATCTTCTGCATATTTTCAGAAAATATATTTCGCATGGATCTTTTCAATAAAACACCTTTGAATATTGTTTTCAACTGTCTCAAGAGAAATTCAGAATTTAGAAAATGCTGTATTTTTGTATCGTTTTCAGCCATAAAACTATGAAAGGAAAGGGTTAAATGATTTTTGACATAGTATACAATTGGTTTGCTAAAGATCTAAATAGGAAGATGATGAACTGCATGTAGAGGCAAGGCCAGTAATGGTGCATGACTTTTTGTCATCACAAATAGGACGAGTGAACTCGCCTGGCACATAATTATTGGGGCTATAGGAGCTTGCATCGCACTTTTTATACCATAATGCTGTATGTGGAAATTTCCATGCTAGTTCAAACAATGTGCGACCTCTCTTTTTGTCTTTTTCATGAAAGTTATTCAAGGTGTGCTATCAATCCGTCTTCGCCAGTACAGATATGCACTAGGTTCTTCACTAGGGGAAAATGGGGGGGGGGGGGGGGGGGTCAGAGGGCAAGTTTTATTGCAGCTTTCCTTTTTCCCCCTCTGCATGTTGACTGAATCCGAATGAAAACAAGTTCCAGATTTGAAAATAAAAATTTGAAGGACACTTCAGCTTCGCCTTCGAGAGTAAAACGCGATAGCATAATCAGGGCCCCCCCGCGCATTGCCTTCTCAGTCGCTAATCTCGCTTTGACACTGGAGCATGCCTCGATCGTACTGTAAGGAAAGGAACAACCGTGTGCATAACATTGGCTGTTTCAAACTATCTTAGAATGCCTACTGTTAAAACTGCCCACCACACCATAATTCTTTTTCTTGTGAGTCGATGAAAACCGCACTACATGTCCGTAACGCAACAAACCAATCTATGCAGCTGCTGACTTAGTTGATGCTTTTGCAGCTGATGATGATTAGACATACCTGCGTGCTTCGCAATTGCTGGCCATTTGAAATGCCCACCTGTTGCACGATTCGCATGTTTTGATGCCTGGCACAATTGTACGCTTCTTCCACACAGTACTAGTGCATGCATTAAGGAGACTCCTTCCACTGCATGACCTTCATATAGTGTTTTTTTTTTTTTTTTTCGGAGCAGTTTCAAGCAATTGTCTGGTTCTCTGGTAGTGCCCATCCTTGCCACACAGAAAGCCTGTGTTCGATTCTCACCCGAACCAAATATATTTATCATTTATTTTATTTGCATTTGGATTTTTCTGTCATGGATAAGACGATTGTTTGCTGACAGCCAGCGCCGACCGCGGAACTTCTGCGAAACGAGGCGTGTAACGCTATCGCATTAAGACGAAGCAATGACAGTGATCTGCCATTGGTCCCTTGCTTTCCTGGGGTAAAGGTGGGAAGTGTAAACAGTTCTCTAAGTGCGAGATCACGGGTTCGCGATCACCACTATCGTCAGATAACATGTGTAGCCATAACCTTTGGCAATAAAAAAAATGACAGGAAAGGTGCAACTGAGTCAAGTTCTGGGGCAGAATTCTTCAAGTGATCGGGGTAAGCACCCCCCACCTCTCTTTGTGTATGCCTCTGTTCGCAAAAAAAGTTGGTGGAAATATCGACCTTGAACACTCTATTCGTGAGGCCTGCCAATTTATAAGCAACGCTGGATAAACTGGCTCATTATATGTACGTGCATTTGTGGTGGTAAATCGACACACGAAAAGGAGGGGGGAGGGGGCAATACAGTAGTATGGAGAAAGCATGTTATTTCAAGGTGTCTTGCTTCTCAATTTCCATCTCTTAATTACTTTCTTTCAGAAATGACAATGCTGATTCCCAGTCCGGCTGAGCTTCCTGAAGCGAGAGTTGAGGCACTAATGTGCCCACCATCTCGTTCCTTTGATTCTCTCCCAGAGGAGACACGCCAGCTGCGAAAAGGTACGTGTTGTGCTGCCCTTGAGGGACATCCGAATAGAAAGTTTTTGTACTGTGTTTGTGAGAAAGTGGCGTTAAAATCTGCAATTCTGACAAGTTACCATTTCTGAAGACTTGTTTTATTTAATGAATATAGCTTTAATGAAATAAAGTAAAGTTTGTCTATTTTGTTTCCGTTAGTTTTTTTAATGCTACAACAAAATGGAAAATGCAGTAGAACCTCATTGATACATTACATTTTTGTACGATTTTCCAGTGCCAATGTTACGGCTGGAAGCACAAGAAATTACCTAACAGTGTTTTGTTTCTTTTTTATCTGCTAATACGTTCCCTAAAACACAGTTATTCACCAGCAACGTCTGACATGAAACGATAACATATATACGCAAAAGTTGAACACAATGTGCGTTTCACGCAGTGATTTGTGCGATTTGTGTTCTTAATGGAACGTTTCTTCTTGCTTCTGGCTTTTTATTTATTTATGCCGAATCATTGCATTTCATGACGAGCAAATCTCATTCTTTACACCAGCTTTTCTAGACTGTTCGCCATGCGATGAAGCTCCGGTAATTGTTTGCATCTCCAAAATGGTCGCAGTGGAGACAAAACAACTTCCCGAGAAGAGAACAAGGTTTGTCTTGTTTGCTTAGCTTTTAGCTGCTCTTTGATTGCATGTAGTTGTGTCATTCAAAAGTACTAACAGTTGTCTGTGTTCATTTGAATGTGAAGAGTTGAGCTAGTAGTGAATAATTGAGCATCCACAAAATATGCATGAGGAGGGGAGAGCAATATGCTATGCTAAATAGACACCATATTCGGATTTAAGTCACCATGTTCACTGTTGGCCAAAGTATCATCGAAGAGAAGGTGTTTTATTTTATTCATAAACCTTTCTTCATCTATATTTTAGAAACACTTGGTTCATATTTACGCATTAGCTTGCTTTCATCCTCAGATGTTTTATTGTCCCACACTGGACTATATATAGTTGAACCCCTTTATAAGAGACGCTGATATAAAGGACAAATGGGTATGAGACACCGGTGTGCTTACAGCAAAATACAGGTTGATATGAATATGCATACATCGTACCATGCTTATTAGAGGCATTTCATATAAAAGACAACAATCGCTGCCCAGAGCATGCTTCTTATAAAAGGGTTTAGCTGTTATGCCCATTAGCTCAATGATGTGAAAACTGCAAAAGAATTTGAGGTGGGTGGCGATAAGTTAAGAAGGGACGCGGCCCTTGAAAACCGAAAAATCGCAAAAAAGTCGGTTTTTGAAAAACCACATTTTTGGGTTGTATGTCTCATAAACTACCTATTCTGTAATTATCAGCACCTAATTCAACCGCAAAGTGCAGAAAAAATACTATTTTCGAGGCCGCTGCGGCGTCCAAAACAGGCGCAAATCCCGAAATCAAACCAAACTTCGCGCGCGCGCCATTCCCGGACCATGCGGTCGTCCCGCGCCATCTTGGTGTTGTTTTGACCGTGAATTCTTTCTCTCTCATTCGCCGCCTTGCAAAATGGCGTCGGCAGCACAGTTGAGACACTATTGGCGTTTTCCCGCGATGCGATGCGGAGCGCTGATTGGCTAGAGCAGCGCATTCATATCTCGCGGGAGAAAGCGTGCCCGCCATTGGCTGCTGTGCAGCAGTGGGGGCGGTCGCTCCTCTTGATGGCGCGTCCAGCGCGCTCGCTTCGTTGTTGCTCCCTGCTCTGTCCGCCTCGACAGACGTCTGCTTACGAGCCGCTCTTCGCCTTGTGCTATCTTTTCGATCATTTTCTCTCGTTTTTTTTTTCTTTTTGCACTAGTTCTGTGCCTTTCGTCTTTGTTGTTGCGGGTGATGCCGGCAACGAAGCCGAAGTCAGTGCGGAAGTCCGGTACGCGGAGGCGCGCTATGCGGCTTGTACAATCTTCGAAATTCCGCTATTCTGCTGCGGGTGCCGACTGCGTAGACGCTTGCAGCGACGGAACTGTGTTGTCGGCTGTCGCCAGTCGAGAATCCGACACATCGAGTGTGGCTGGAGCCGCAAATGCACCGAGTGTTTCCGAGATCGCCGGGCTCGACACGTGCTTCGAATCGATGCTATCCAGTGTGACACCGAGTGCTTCTGATATCGCCGGACCCAGCACTTCGTCTGAATCGGTGCCGCCATCGAGCGTGAGTGGACCGTCGCTTCATCTGCGGACGCGTTTCCTTACGAAGGAAGAAATCGATGCGAATGCGAAACGTCGTGACGCCGTTGGCGCTGAACTCGAGTCTACGCCGGCGACGCAGAAGAAATTTCAACTGATGCAGCCGGCTCTTGCACCTGCAGTGACAAGTGAGGGCAAACATTTTTCGCTCGTTCAAATGAACATCTTTAACGTCGTGCTCAGCCGCACAGTGTGCAAAGAATGTTTGAAAGGTGCTATGACTGTCCGAGAGAGCACCAAGCTTGGACTTGCAACAAAACTTGAAGTCGTGTGCGCCTCTTGTGGCACCGTCGATAAATTATGGACATCACCTCGCAAAAAGGACACGCAGGCCTTCGATGTAAATGTTCGCGCCATAATGGCTATAAAGCAAATAGGCAAGGGGCAAACAGCTCTTAATGACTTTTAGGCTGCCATGAACATCTCTTACAGAGGTCTTCACCACAAGACGTTAAAAGCACTTGAAAGAGACGTTCAGGAAGCCAGAGGCCACCGCTTTGGAGAAGTTTTATGCTGATTCTGCCACAGCAGTGATCAAAACATATAAAGAAATGGACCCCAGCTCAAGGACATCACCGTAGTGTACGATGGCACATGGCATAAGCGGGGTCACACATCACACATCGGAGTGGGATCGGTAATTGACCTCTTTACAGGTCTCATCTTGGATGCTGTAGTTCTTTCAAACCACTGCCTTGGATGCCAAACAGGGCCCAAACCTGGAGATGCAGCATACGAAAGCTGGCAGAAGCACCACATTTGCCAGAAAAACACAGACGCAAAATCGGGAAGCATGGAAGTGGAGGCAGGCTTGACTCTCTTTGGGCGGTCTGTATCCAAGCATGGCCTGCGGTACACCACTCTTGTGTCCGACGGAGACAGCCGTACCTTCGCTGCCCTCACAGAAGAGAATGTGTACGGGCTAGTGCCAATTGTAAAAGAAGAATGTCTGAACCATGTTCAGAAAAGGATTGGAAGTGCTCTTCGAAACATTGTGCAGAAAAGTGATAAGCCACTGAGTAGGAAGGGGAAGCTGACTAAAGCCCTCATTGAAAAGCTGACAGGATATTATGGTTGGGCCCTGAGAAACAATTCAACTGACCTAACAGCCATGCAGCGTGCAGTGATGGCAACATATCACCACGTCACATCGACTAACCAGGACCCTCACCATGAACTTTGCCCAGAGGGGGCTCAATCGTGGTGCCGCCATAGAGCTGCAGAGGCAAAGCGTGAGCCACAGCCAAAACATAAACACAGCCTACCGGACTATGTCGCTGCAGCTATGCTGCCCATCTACGAAAGACTGTCACAAAAGTCGCTTCTTCAGCGCTGCCTGGGAGCGAAAACGCAAAATGCATCAGAATCATTCCACTCCATTCTGTGGTCTCTGATGCTGAAGGAACAACACTCATCCTTGATCGCGGTGGAAACAGCACTGCATGAAGCAGTGCTGCGCTACAATGCCGGCTGCTGCAAAGCAACCCAAGTGATATCGGACTCCATTGGACTTCAACCAGGTCATCTGGCCATCCAGCGAGCTCGTGAAAAAGACGCTTTACGCCTAAAAAAAGAATTCTAAAAGACACCAAGAGAAGATGGAGGCCAGGCAAAAGAAGAAAAGAGTGCGCCAGGACACTTCTAGCTACTGTGCTGGAGCTTTTTGAAGAAAACACGTGTTTTGAACTTTCTCGGCCTGTTTTCTCAGAACGGATTTTTTTGCTAGTTGTGGTGCTGAGGAAAGCAAGAACTCGAAAACCGTTCATCAGATTTGTGTGCCGTTTTTTTTATTCTGTTCCTGAATGACCTTGCAAGGGCGTAACAAGCTCCTTTTTATGAAAATTGGTGCTGTTACTTTATAATAAACAATTAATTTTTGATAAATCTGGTCATTACTGGTTACATCAAATTCAAAAATGCGTGAAAATTTTGGGGGGGGAGGGGAAACTAAAAAAACCGGCTTTGTAGCGCCCTGGGATAGCTATCAAGGAATGACCACAATGAATTTCAGCTTTCTACTATGTCCTGGGATTTCTCACGACTCTTCCTCAGGCACCCATGTGAAGCACCCAGTTAAACCTCAATAACTCTGGAACTAAGAAACACAGCTTCGTGAAACTTGGCAGTTGTGCTAGTTTTATTGTAGTGAACAACCCCTGAAAGTTTAATCCAGATATCTTAAAAAATAAAAAAGTTCGGTCTCCAGGGTAGCCTCCCCCCTTATTTAGAAGTATAGCCAGCTGGCTGTGAATAAACCACACACAGCCTTTATAAACTGCTGCTAATGATGTTCTTGGTTGACTACCTTTATCTGCTTCTGCAAGAGGCATGTCAGCTTCAATGGGCATCACTGTTGACTAGCTGGCACTATGTTAAAATGGCATTGTTATCTGAGTCATACATTTGATCTTAATGCAAGGCAAAGCCCCCTATAAGGCAAGGCAAAGAGCGAGCAAGGCTTCATTTGTTGAAGTGGTTTTTACAGTGGTTTATCTGACGACGTCACCACAGCCACTGCCAAGTTATCAGCACTTGGCAACAGCGATATATATGCTGATATACAACAGTTTTCATTTTTTTAATTCATTATGAAATCATGGTGCTGCTTTAGTTTGGCATCTTTCATTGTGTTCCTGAACAAACGAGTTCAAAGCATTCAGTGATAATGTAGACAGCCCACGCAACGCTGCCATTCGCCTTTAGTTGTCATATCTACTTGGCTGAGTCTTTCAATTAGGAACTTCAGCTTGCTCCAACATCCTACAATCCCATTCTTACAGGCTGCTGAGTCTTGAAGAGATAGCTCAGCGAAGGGAGCAAGCTCGCCAACGACATGCAGAGAGAATGGCCTTGGCTGCTGCAGATTCGGTTTCAACTCCTGATGAGCAGATCAATGGGGAATCTGGTGTGCATTGACTTTCTAACTCCTTTCCAGTGCTCATTTTTCATCAGTATAATAATGTAGAGCAGTCTCCTTTTTTCTTTATTGCTTTTGTTTTTCAGCATTTGCACATGCCACAAAGCTTTTCCTTAGGCTTACTTTTCGTCAAGGGGAGGTGCTGTTCTGAAAAAAAAGTTGCGTAATTTGTAACCTGAGGCCATGAAATTTTTGTCGTATATATATAGGTTTTTATGCTGATTTCAAATAGGTAATTTGTTCTATAGTAAGTTGCTACAGTTTTCATTTTATGCCATGACAATGTGTAAAGTATAGCTCTCTTGAACAAATTAAATCTTTTCTGCCAGTAAACATTTATGGATTCTGAGGCATTATTGACTCATATTGCTCTTAACTGTAATATGCAAATAATTATCAAGAAAGTGCATATAAGACATTTTAATGAACAAGAAAAATGGTACTGTGAGAAGTGTTAGAATTCTTAGCCCATGATAATTGCTTACTTTAGCCCCGCCGCAGTGGTCTAGTGGCTAAGGTACTCGGCTACTGATCCGCAGGTCGCGGAATTGCATCCCAGCTGCGGCAACTGCATTTCCGATGGAGGCGGAAATGTTGTAGGCCCGTGTGCTCAGATTTGGGTGCACCTTAAATTATCCCAGGTGTTCTAAATTTCTGGAGCCCTCCAGTAGGTCTCTCATAATCATATAATGGTTTTGAGATGTTAAACCACACATATCATCAATTGCTTACATTAGGTTTGTAATAATTATACAGACAATATCAAGTGTAAAAGGAGATACTTGCACCCTTGCAAGAAATATGTGAGAAAAATTTCATACCGATCGGGCTCTCAGAAGTGCCAAAAACATGATTTCCAAACTCAAGAGGTTACCCACTAATGGACTTTGAGAAAAATGCATTTCAGAAGAGTATGTGAAAACTCGTATATGTGAAAAAGATATGTTTTTCAAGACAATTGCTTCCATCATGAGACCTTGGCAGTCATGGTATTTTTAGCATGTAGTTTAAGTAAACTCGTCATGTGAAATGCAATGGCAAGCATCCAGGTGACAATTTCTAGGGAACTTAAGACAATCAGCTCTGCTTAGTTTTTAGTAGCCACATTGTGCTCTATAGAAGCGATTTTAACGTACTTCACGTTTAGTTACAACCTGCAGTTGTTTTTTTATTGATAAAGTGCTAAACCTGCTTTGATTTATGCTAAACCTGTGATAACTAGTAAAAACAAAAAAATATGTAATTATGGAATATACTTCCGTTTTTCGACTCGCATTTTTCCTAAAAGTTAGAATTGAAGTATTGCAAGTTTAGTCAGCCTTCCATCATCCTATGATGCCTTGATATAACATTGCAGTGTTGCAGAACAGTGATAAATTGGTCAGCATACATGCCTCATCATTACTCAGTAATTTTGACATGTCATGTCAAAATTATTTGTTTTAATAGCTACAGCTGTCATGTCAGTTTGTGTTAATTGTCAAATTATTTCATTACATTTTTACAAGCATGCATGTGGCTTAACTTGTTTTTTTTGTTTTTTTAATCTTTTTAAGTAGCAGTCCAAGAGGAGGTAGTGTCTCAAGAGAGAGAGGAGGACGAATCGACATTTATTGCATTTGGTCGCGTGTTCAGTGGCACGCTGAAACGAGGCCAGCGAGTATATGTGCTTGGTCCAAAGCATGACCCAGCAAAATTTCTTGAGAAGGTTGGTATTCATGCATGACATTTATTAGTTGGATTCCACATGTGTCTTCCTTGTTGGCATCAGTGCAGTTGCTTGCTCTCTTGTGCCTTACAGGCTATGACTGTCGATCCTGCCCGGAGGCTGAAGGATTTAGGCCCAGAAGAACACGTTACTGTTGCAACAGTAGAGAGGCTCTATCTGCTCATGGGAAGGGAACTGGAGCAGCTGGAACTGTGTTCCTGCTGGGAATATCCTTGGTGAGATGTGTTGCAAGTTTTCTTGTCTAGTACATTAATTATTGAATTATGTGGTTTCTGATGTACTCTGCATAAAGTCAAGATGCTTGATAAACTTTTTTTAGATAGTCTGTTGCAATAGTAGATCTGATATCACTGCAATGTGCATTTAATAAGTTGCATCGATGTAATCAGTATAGCGGAAGTAAGACAGCGTTTGTGTCCATGACTTACAGATGCCCATAACTGGCGACTGAGGAGCTCTTTAGGGCAACTGATGTTCACACAGGAGAGCGCTACTTAACCCACCACCAAACTATTACAGTTGACTCTCATTAATTCAAACCTGATGGGACCTCTGAATTTTGTTTGAATTATCAAGAAGTTTGAATTATCAAAAGTTTTCAGATAAATGACTCAGGGTGAGGTGACTCCACACATTATGATTAGGCATTGATTTTATCACATAAAACAAATTTCTAAGTGTTTTTAAGGCCTAACTGCACAGTGTAGACAGAAAGCAGAGGTGTAAAGTCCACAAGTTTGCTGGCTACTTACTGCTGATCAGGCCTTTTAAAGAAATCATGAATTACCAACTGCTTCATTGCTATAGGTATGTGCCTTCAGCACAAAGCATTCTATACCAGTTGAGAAGCATCACGGTTTACCATGCGTGTGCTTCGTTTTAAACATTTGTTTACTTGCAAAGACTTTTTCCTTGAGGGCCTCGTGTGCTTATTTTTTTATATTGTAATGCATGGTTCAATGAACACTTTTAATAAGCTAACGTAGGCAGGGCGAACTTGTGCTCGAGAATAATAACACAGCTAGAACGAAATCTCCTAGTTGTCTCGAGGATTCACTTCTGCTTCTTCTTCCACGTTCTTCTTTTTTTGCAACACGGTTTGCGCGCAGCTGGGCCCCGCAAGCTCGTGCGTCGCAAACCATCTGGAGGGCACAAGTATCGGCTAGCGCGTGTAACTTGAAGTCACATTGTGTCATTGCCCCCCTTTCCAGAGTGCATCATCTCGATGCTCATATCGAACTGGTTGCATGGTGGTCATTCACAAACCCTCGTCGTGGATGTCGTTGACGTCAAACAACGTTGTGTCCTCGGTGTTTCAGTCGCCTGTCATAATACGCCTCCCATACTCCGACATTTCGATCCGTCTGCTCCCACGGAGCTTCATACGGACACCAGTGGTGTCAAGCTAGGGGCCATTCTGGCCCAACGCAAGGATGGCTTTGACGAGTACGTCGTCTCCTATGCCAGCCGCACCCTCAGTAAAGCCGAGAAGAATTACAGTGTCACTGAAGAAGAGTGCCTAGCCATTATTTGAGCAATCAGAAAATTCACGGCCTTATTTATATGGACGTCCGTTTGATATTGTGACAGACCACCATGCGCTTTGCTGGTTATTGTCACTAAAAGATCCTAATGATCGGCTCGCTTGTTGGGCATTGCGGTTACAGGAATTCGATATCCGTGTTATCTACCGTTCTGGCCGGAAGCATTCCAACGCCGATGCCCTGTCACGCTCGCCGTTTGCTTCATAGCCTGTCTGCTTGCCTATCTCCACCGGTGCTGCCTTGGCCATCAGCACTTCGGACATGCCTTCTGAGCAACGCAAATATGCTTGGATTTCTTCCCTTTGGGACTTTCGCTCAAACTGGACGCCCGCTTCAGTTTCCAGGACGCTTCGCCGTCAAGCACAACACTTCGCTATTCGGGATAACCTGCTTTACCACCGAAACTACAGCTCGATTGGCCGCAAGTGGTTGCTCGTCATTCCCCGACATCTCCGCTCTGACATCTGCGCCACGTTCCACGATGATCCGCAATGTGGCCACTGCCGGTGTGTTAAAAACATACACTCTCCTTGCAGCTGCGGTACTACTGGCGCGGTATGTACCGTTTCGTTCGCCGTTACGTAAAGTCTTGCCTTACGTGCCAGCGACGCATGATGCCCACTCAACATACCACCAATCCTTGCAGCCGTTGCCATGTCCAGCACGAGCTTTCGATCGTGTCGGAATCGACCTTTATGGTCCGCTTCTTTATACTTCGAGTAGCAACCGCTGGGTCATTGTGGCTATCGACCACCTAATGCGCTACACTGAAACAGCTGCGTTACCTTCTGCTACCGCAAAGGACGTTGCATGTTTTATACAGCAAAACTTGGTTTTAAGGCATGAAGCACCTTGGGAGTTACTAAGCGACTGGGAACGGGTTTTTCTCTCCGATGCCATTAAGGCGTTGTTGAGCGAGTGTCGCATCATACACCGCACTACAACAGCCTATCACCCGTGAACTAATGGTATGACAGAGCGTTTTAATCGTACACTTGGAAATATGCTGGTCATGTACGCTTCATCCGACAGTCAAATCGGGATAGTATACTGCCTTTTGTGACATATGCCTACAACACTGCAAAGCAAAGGACCACTGGCTTTTCGTCTTTCTTTTTTCTTTATGGGCGTGAGCCATCATCAACAATGGATACTATTCTTCCTTATCGACCGCACCCTTCCGAGTAGACAACCGTTTCACAAGCAGCAGCACACGCTGAAGTATGTCGGAAGCTTGCTCGTGAATTCACGTCAAACGACCAGACGCGCCAGAAACATCGCCACGACGCGTCAAGCCACGCCTATGAGCTTTGCTCTAACTCACTGGTGTGACTATGGATTTCTTCTACTCCTCGAGGACTCTCCCACAAGCTTACGTCCAGCTACCATGGTCCCTATCGAGTTGTACACCAAACATCTCCTGTCAACTACCTTGTCGAGCTTCTGGACGCATCTCCTGGACAAGTGCCGTCGGGGACAATAAATCGTACACGTCTCTCGGCTCAAGCCGTACCATGACCCTTCTGTGTACATCTGTCCTTAGGTCGCCAGGATGGCTCCCTCGTCGCCTGGGGGTGATTGTAACGAGGGCAGCGGACGCGGAGCTTGAGTAGAGAAAAGAAGAAGACGAACACTTTTAATAAGCTAACATAGGCAGGGCGAACTTATGCCCGAGAATAATAACACAGCTAGAACCGAAATCTTCTAGTTGTCTCGAGGATTCACTTCTGCCTCTTCTTCCGCGTTCTTCTTTTTTCCAACACAATTCACGCACAGCTGGGCTCCGCGCAGGCTCGTGCGTCGCAAACCATCTGGAGGGCACAAGTATCGGCTAGCGCGCGTAACGTGAAGTCACATTGTGTGAATATTTAGACTGTTAGGATTATATGAGCAAAAACATTTTTATGTAGCAGTGGGAAAGCAGCTATTTTCGGTTATGGACCTGCAAAGAGTATGAATTAACCGAATCATGGAGTTCGGATTAAGAGGTTTTCAAATACATTGAGAGAATAGAGGGCCAACCAAAAAATTGAATTTTGTTTGAATTAACTGAAAGTACGAATTATCAGAGTTTGAACTATCGTGAATCTACATTATTACTGGCATTCACATCTATTTCTAGCATCTCGTTGCTCGACCAGCCGTAGTGAAATAATACAAACCTTCAGCGTATTCCGACGTCTTGCTCCCGTGCAACTTATTAGTTTCGAAACCTTGCGATTCTAGTTGCAGAGCCCTAAAACCAATCCATTAGTTACTCTTGTACGTCAATCGCTTTTTGACCAACGCAACTGTTTGCAAATAAAGTGGTGGCACAGCCTCTGCGAAGATTCCCTTAATACTCTGTCCTATTTGTTACTTCTTGTCCCTCAACATTTTTAATGTCTGCTTATGTCTCAGGCATTGGATAATAGTACAATATGTAGCCAAGTCATTCTTTTTAACAGTAATATTTGAGTCTATTCCAGGAATGATGCTTCACATTAGGTTGAGTGGACAGATAATGAAGTTTTCTGTAAAGAGGGCCATTTTCGACAATAGCTACCGACATAATTATGACTTACATTTATCAACACCATGCGCACAACATATCACTGACAAAATACTGACTCGTAAGATGGAACTGCTTACATTTTATGCAGCTGCTTGACACCAGAAACTATAGGCTTCGCTGAGATTGGAGAGGGAGCTATGAGGGGGGGGGCACGGAGTATCCATCTTGTGAAATCTTATGTTTTTAGGTGACTTTTTCTCTTACTATGTTCCCTTTTTCTCCACATTTGAAGGCATAGGAGGACTTGAAGAACACGTGGTGCGCACAGCCACACTGTCCACTTGTACAGCCTGTGCACCCTTTGCGGATATGCGGGGCCCTGTTACACCCATTCTACGGGTGGCCCTTGAGCCGCGGCGTCTAGCTGACATGGCCACCCTAGTGCGGGGCCTCAAGTTGCTGCACCAAGCTGACCCCTGCGTCCAGGTGCTCCTTCAGGAGACAGGCGAGCACGTGCTACTTACCGCGGGGGAAGTGCCACCTGGAGCGATGCCTCAACGACCTCACTGAAAGGTTTGCTTCACAGATCTGTCCTTTAGGACCCATATTTATGAGCAGCACTTAATTTCCTCAAAAAGTTAACATGAAAGTTCCTTTGGAATCGACATTACTGCGAAGCATGCGGAGGGAAGGTGACCAGTGCTGTAATTTTTTTTATTGAGCGACACTTTACGAAACGACAGTACATATATGCACAAATGTTGCACGCACAGACATATGTTCAACAGTCGCAGATGTTTATATAACCAGTTGTTTGAACTTGCGCAACAATGCCAATAGGAACATGAGTATTAGCAACACCAGAAGCGATAATCTGATCAGAATTGCTGGCGCTCATGAGGATGGTAGCCCTGGACACTGCTACATAAATCAACTTTAGCGGATGGCACCTTGGCACCTATCTACAACTGACATTGACCCGACAGGACGGCTGTATTATAGGAGTGCACATGTAATGTTTATAAAATTGAATAGCGAGCACTGCAACCACAATTGACGTTTTGCGAACAGTAGAGTCAATTTGTAAAGCAGTTCCGAGGCCTGGCGTGGTTCTGGGGTAGAATACTTAATTGCCACGCAGAATGCTGGGGTTCAATTCCTGCGGGGAAAAAGCATTTTTTTTTTTTTTGTCTTCGAATTTCTCTTTTCAGCTAGGTCCTCCATTCAGAAAAAAGGGTACAAGAAGTAAATATTTAAGCTTGTTTTGAGGCCTCCGATTGGCTGCGCGCACTATGTTGCTACAGCACTCCTCGCCATTGGTCTGATGCTTGTTCTGGAGTAGCATCGTCTACCACTTGCGCGTCGCAAGGGTCATGGCTGTCGACAGTAGCCCTGCTTAGTGACGAGTTCACATTCGTTCTGTGTTCATGGGTCAATCATTGCTTTAAATATAATTGCACTTCAGTTTGGCAGATGCATGTGGAACCTCAATCATCAGATTACGATAGTCCGCAGCGCTTGTCGTGAATATGCAGACGCTGCATGTCTAATTCATTGGAATCGCGGTTATGCCACTGTTTTTATTTTTCTCATTTCAAGTTTTCTAGATGTGTTTTTTTCATGCATTGCTTATAAACCTTTGCTTAAAAGTGCATGTTTGCCCTCTTTAGTTGTCAAGTTCAACTCAAGTACTACTCGCCGCAAAAGCTGAAAGCGAATATTGGTGGGAACGGTGAATTCAGGGCAATGCTAAACAGTAGTGCAAGGTAGGTGGCAGCGACTGTGAAGGGTGAAGTGACAGTAGTTGAGAATAGATAAGTGGCACTGGTGACTGAAACCGAGTTGATGATGAAATAAACATTTATTTTTGAAACGGTGTTCCAGAGTTTGTGAGCTCAGGGTCACCCTAGGTGGAAGAGTCCCTTATTCCAGGAATCCTTTGGCCGCAATCGCCTCCCGGGCCCTGGCAACAAGTCCTCGTTGGTCGTTTAGGTCACGTGCGGCAGTCTTGGCTAGGGAGTTGATACGTGCAGTCGTTGCGGACTTGGTATTGGAATCTTCGTGGCGCCACGGGCACTCAGGTAGGAGATGGGCCAGTGTGGTTGGCACGTCGCATATAGGGCAGTTATAGGTGTTGTTATGCCTGCGAGTCCACACCGAACGTCCATGCTCTGAAAAAGGCAATCTGTCAAGGCCAGCACGCGAGCACGCCTGACGCGAACAACTCAACGGCGTCATCACGCGGCGGCGCCATTCTGTTGCGCAACGCACAGCGAGCTCCCTAAGCGCACGAGCCCGTCGAAGCAATCGGCGCCTTCCTGTCTGGCGAGTTTTACGCAATGTGTGGCGACGTCACCCGTCCTTGGCTGCAACCACGCGCAGCAGCTTCGGATTTGATGAGAATGACGCGGCCCAGCGGCGCTTCTGGTTGGACATTTGGTTACTCAAAGAATCCACCCGGTGCCTATAAAACAAAGCCCTGCGGCGCGTCGCGAGCAGTAGACATATCAATGTTTCAATCAATGTTTCTTTATTAGCATCAGAAGTGTACATTGTGAGTAAGTATGCAGTATATGTGTCAGTGAAGAGAGCTAGGCTCTTCGAGTCTCTAAGCTGTCGGTCCCAGTGCCGAATTTGTAACGCCTCTATTTCTATGCTGTACATAAACCTTGCTTTAACTCACTGTCGTCTCATCCGCTCGTCTATCAGCTCTGCGCAGAAGCAGTCGCGAGCTAAGAAACCTACGCTACCAAACGGCTGGTGACCGTGTCTGCAGAGATCGGAGCAGTGGCGCCTTCGGGACCGTGTTTGCGTCGCCGTCTTTCGTAACAGCGTAGAGCGCTGGGTAGACTCTATGCAGTAGGGTGCCGTGTGTATAGGTGTTAGCTTGAAGTCTCCGAAATGCTGTGGCCTCTTCTTTAGTCAGCTTGGGGAGAGGTGGCCGGTACACCCTGCGAGCTAGACGATAGTGTTGTAGGATGGCGTTGTATGTTGGTGGTACGGTCTCCTCTTCTTCTGCAGCGCTGACTAACCACGGGTCAAGCGAGGCGCTGAGGAAGGCCCGGTTGACGTGACCGCAGGGCCGTGGCATGAGCCGCTTCATTTCCCTCGAGCCCCTCGTTCCCCGGCACCCATACCATGCAGGTGTAAGGAGGCGGAGTTCAGGCTCTTTCTCAGAATTTTGAGAGCTTCGGCGGAGATTACGGCCTCGCGTGTAATTACGGACAGCGGATTGGGAATCTTGAAAACTACGACCACGTCCTTACCTAGTCGTACTGGCAAGGGCGATCACTGCTTCCTCGGCAGACTCGGAGCTCCGCACTCAGTAGGGTGGCGGATGCCAGCTCTTGTCCTTTCGCGTCGACCACACTTAAAGTGTAAGCATTTTTACTCGGGTGCTTTGCCGCGTCGACATAGGGAACGTATGGATCGTGCTGGTGTCTTCTGCGTATGGTGTCGACTTCGAGTGATTCGTCTTTTTTGATGGTACTTGGGATGCATGTTACACGCTACTTGGGCAATGCTGAATTATTCTTGCATGTATGGCGGCATCTTCTCTTTGCGGTCTGCCTCGCAGATGTAGCTCTCGCTGTAGCCCAAGCGCTCAAGGACCGATCTGCCCGTCGGCGTAAGACTAAGTCTCTCAACTTGGCTGGTCTGTTGGGCTTCTGCCAGCTCTTGCCAGGTGTTGTGTATACCCATTCTTAGGGGTCTGGTGGTCGACGCCATTGTAGGTAGCCCTATGGCGAGCTTGGTAGCTTTGCGGAATGAGCACATTCAGCTTGTCGACTTCAAGATGTCTTGAGAGCGAGGTACAGGGTTCTATAGGTGATTCGGCTGGTTATAAGAGCCTTCACAACTCTCAGGGTATCATTTTCCTTCAGGCCACTGCGTCGGTTCGCGACTCTCCTTACAAGGTGCGTGAGCTGGAAGACTGTGCGTTGAAGTCTAGGAAGCGTGGTGGCCCCTGATACGTCATTGGTGCAGCCGCAAGTTGAGCACGCGAAGCGAGGTGACCTTCGGTATTTGGACCCCGTGAAGGATGATGCATGGGTCTGGCGCTTCGCAGGTTGGAGGTCTTCCTTGCGTGCAGGCCTTGAGTACCAGTAATTCCAATTTTTTAGGGGCACAATGGATGCCGCAGCTTTCGAGGTAGTTTTCCATGACATTGACCGCCTTCTGAAGGAAGCTTTCTTGCTCTCCAGTGTTCTTGCCTCGAGTCCAAAGCGTAATGTCGTCTGTGTAGATGGCATGACATAGGCCCTGTATTTTTTCGATAAGCCGGGGTAGCTTAAGGAGTGCCACGTTGAAAAGGAGTGGTGACACAAGAGAACCTTGAGGTGCACCCCTGTTTGGCAGCTCAAATTTTTCGCTCCGTATGTTGTATATTCCCACCGTGGCCGTACGACCGGTAAGGAAGCTTCAAACATAGCCATAAATCTTGGAACCGCAGCCGGTATCTTCGAGATTTTGTAGTAATGCTTTATGGCTAACATTGTCGAAGGCGCTTTTCACATCAATGGCTAAGAAGGGACGACTTGCTATTCTTGCTCAAGTGATCAACTAGATCTTCCTTGAGGGGTAAGAGGATGTCCTGCGTAGAAAGCAGCTGGCAGAAGCCGAACATTGTGTCTGGGAAGTACGCGTTGTCCTCAAAGGTGCGACGTGAGCCGGTCATGGATCATATTGCTCAAACAGCTTGCCAACGCACGAAGTCAGATAAATGGGTCTAAGGTTGTCAACAGATATGGACTTGTTGGGCTTAGGTGTCATGATAACCTCCGAATGCTGCCACACGGCTGGAAGCTCTCCTTTGTCCGAGCAGTCATTGTAGTACTGTAGGAGAGCAGTCATAGCCTGATTGGGTAGCTGTCGGAGATGATTGTTAACTGTCCTGTCTTTGCCTGGACTCGTGTTTCTCGTAAGCTTAGAAAAGCTGCTTGAAACTCTGCTGGTGTGAAGGGCCTGTCAAGGTCGGAGTCGGGCATGCCTTCGTATTCTTTGTGTGATGGTGGCATTGCCACTGATTGGACTGGAACACGCAGCTTGTTGCATAGTTCGTGGAGTAAGTCTTCCTCTGAGCCGTCGTAATTGTGTGTAAGCTGACGTACTCGTTGCCACTGCTGCGTCTTGGTAGGGCGGTCACCGAGGAGAGTCCGCAGGCAGGCGCCACGTCTTCTTGGTGCTGAGCGTACCCTGCAGCTTATCGCAGTAGTCGCGCCAGTTGTGTCTCACTAGATGTTCGGCATACTGTTGCGCCTCCTGTCAATAAGGAAATTCTTTTCCCTGAGTTTCTGTTCAATTTTTGCCTCTTCCATCTCTTGAGTAAGGCTGGTCTGGCCTCTTAGAGGTGGAGTAATTGGGAATCTACTGCCGGATTGTTTTTGTTAAGCTGCATTACTTTGGCGTACCGTTTGGCGGTATCTAGAATCTTAGTGAGCCAGGTGTCTATGTCCGCAATTGCGTTCTCACCATCGAGCTCGTTTCTGAAGGCGTTCCAATCTGTCAGTCTTGCTGTGCCTGTTTTTGTAGGTCATTGGTCATATTGACGCAAGGTAGGCTGGCAACTATAG